CTCTAACTCTAACTCTAACTCTAACTCTAACTCTAACTCTAACTCTAACTCTATTTCATCTTTCTTTTTTAGGCCTGTGTCGAATGCCGGAACTTCCTAATGCCAAATCATGAACTGGACTTAAAAGCTGAAGCTATACATCTATTACATATACGAGGTGTATGAAAAGGAAAAGGTGAATTTTAAATTTTTTTTAAAAGTACTTATTTATTCATCAATATCTAATTTGTCCACTTCAAAGTAAACCCCCTCGGATATAATACACTTGTGCCAACGCTGTTTCCAATCCTCGAAGCACTTCTAAAATGCACTTATTGGTATGGCCATCAGCTCTTACTTCGATTCTGACTTGACCTCAACAATTGTGGCAAACCGCTTTCCTTTCATTGGTTTCTTCAGTTGTGGGAGTAGGAAAAAGTCGCAGGGAGCCAAACTTGTGAATGCGGTGGTGGTTGAAGTCATTGAATAACTCGCTGCCACATCATTCATGCCCAAAATATTCGAGAAAATTTAATAGCATGAGTCGTTTGATATGCCAATATCCTCTGCAACTTCCCTAGTAGTGATTCACGATTTTCAGGAAAATTTTTTTTCACTGTTTCGATGTTTTCTTCACTCGTTGACGTAGTCGCACCGGCAGGATGCTCATCGTCATCAACTACTTCTCGGCCTTCTGTAAAGCGTTGGTACCACTTATAAATACTTTTTTGAGACAAAGTGGACTCACCGAATACCTCAGTCAACATTTCAAGTGCCTTGGAGCTCGTTATTCCATTTTTAACGCAAATTTATATATAATAATATTCTTTGATCATTTTCTTTCAAAAGTCAAAAGAGCACACAAAAACGTGACTAACCTTTATACTGAAGTCAAAAACAAAATACTAATCCAAATTGGCTCCTAATCCAAGCTTTGAACACACTTCGTATTAATAACTCTATTAACCGTCCCAACCAAACTGGCTATATTCTTAATAATATCATTAAAGTCGAGTCTAAATAACCGGAATGAATCCGAACTTATGTATATCTAAACAGAAACTGTGTTCAAATGTAACGTTCTCTGAAACTATTTACTCATACACATTTTTGACGATACATTAACAACTATATCATAACGACCATTTAAAATTTTATTAAATGGAATAACTCGAATAAATACACACATCGACTTTTTGCATACATCACAATAGAAAATGTTTAGTTGTTCGTGGAGGGTATGAACTTTAAACTTGTTATATTGCAGCTATTCATATCCTACAATATAAGTATTGTACATACTTGACTGTTTCGAGATTTCTTAAAGCGATAGTGTTTTAACATATCTTCCGCTATATAATTGATATTCAAGTCATCATCCAAATATATTACTAGTCAATATATCCAATAAAGCTATATTCACACATATACGAGTATTTATACATAACTAATAGCCCAATAAAGTAAAAAAAGGCGAATAAATTTTTTGACAAATCAGCAAAGTGATTTCTTAGTCCGAAAGCGTGCGAAAAAAATGAAAGTCTTGACGCCTTCTGTCTATAAACATTATTGTAAGCATAAACAAATAGTTAAATTGTCCACCTTATATACAAACGTAAACATAAAACTCAATAAAAGTCTAAAAGCTAATGTAGCCAAGCAATATATCTGGCTTTGGTAGTCATGCATAAATAACTGCTTTTTTGGAATTCTTTTGGAATGCCAAAATATTATTCATGGTCTCGCTTAATGTAAATTTCAAAAGAAAACGACAAAATGAAAAGATAAAAATAGTTGCAAATAAAAACTGCAAAAAAAATATTATATTAATGAAAAGTCTTTTATAAAAAAAATCGCATTATTATATTGCTTCCTTATAGCTTTTGATAAAGAGAATGTTGGGGCTTCCTCCAAAAATATAAATTTCCATACAATCATTAACTCGGCGTAGTGGTTCGAAATAATGTCAAAATAAGGTCAAGAAAGCATTTTTTTATACCGAAGCGCAACAAAGGCGTGTTACTCATTTACTACCATAAGAATGAAAGCAACACTTACCTAAAGAACATTTACAAGGAGAGTTCAAATATAGCCTAAAAAAAATGAAATGCGACAATTAACTCAAAACTTGCTTTAGGTAGATAACTGAAAGTATTTATATCTTTAGATTAAAATATAAAGGTTCGAATTACTTTTTGGCATTAAACAGTTACAATTTGCTGAATACATATATATATGTATATACCATATAAGTATACATATTATATTATATATATGTATGTAGATCTTCAAATGGAGCCAGCTTTTTGTTTATGGTTGACGAAGATCGTTACGAGTTTATTAACATTCAAGCACCGAATTCGAACATAATATTTCTTCCCAAAAAATTAAATAAGGATTGAAGATTCCAGTAACGATGAGAGTTACGACTCTGCTAAGCTCAGATTTTTTGGGTATTCTCTAGCATACTGTTAGTATATAAGACGGTAGAATAGCTACTCTCGCAAAGCTTTTTATTTGACATAGAGTATTTGGTCGTAACCCATAGACTGCCAAACTGCAATCAATAACACATCGGTCGGTTCGTTGGATGATTACATTTGAAGGAGTTAAGACAACCCTAATAGTCGTTGCGTTAAAATTACATCGATATCAGAAACTCTCAACAACTCTTTGAGATTTACTTTCAATTTCGTTGTAAATCGTTGTCGACAGATTCTTCGTGTTATTTGCAAAAATAATATTTAGTCTGGGTAATTAAAGAGATTTTTGTCAACACTAACAAGAGCCATCCCTGAGCTGACTTAGTCGCTAGATTTAGCTCCATTGGGATTTTGATTGCTTTGGTTCGCGGGACCCCACGGGGCGCTGCGTCCAATAATCGATCCGCATAATCGCTCGGCGGAATCAGTAATTCGAAGCATCAATGATCCATGATTTCACAACACGTTTGAAAAAGTTTTCCCATACATGTGGTCCGATATCGGCGGTTCCGACAAATGAGCAGCTTCTTGGAAAGAAAAGGACGCGTGTAAAATTTCATATGCATATCTCAAAAACTGACTGAATTACTAACGGTAATTTCTTTCTGTTTTATTTAGAAAATTATTGTAATATAAATATAACACCAGCTCAAGTATATTATTTTCCAGCCACTTGCCCCCTAACAACTTTGGCCTTAAGGCACAAGTGTAATCAACAAATAGATGATTGGAAAATAAAAATTGCTTTCAAAGCAATTTTTTTACGCTGTGTCAGAGAGAAAAGAAAAGAAATGCAGGAATGCCAGTCAATGCGGCGGATAGTTGAAGAAAATGGAAAAAATCTCATTTCAAATCAAAGCGGGAAAAAAGAAAAGACACAAAAGATTAGTTGACTAAAGGACTGCGCAAACAAGAAGAAGAATAAGGAAGAAGAAGTAGAAGTTATAGAAAAGTGGTAAAGAAAAAACAGCTGACAATAACAAAACCGACTAGCTAAGAGAGAAAAAAATTAAAATGAAACAGAAGCTGCAAGAAAATGCAAACCAAATCAATAACAACAACAATAATAACTAATTCCAACGCACCTATAATGATGACCATTGTATTTGAAGTGATTAGACTGATTGTTGTGGCAGCGGTGCATGGAGCCACCACTGGGGGCCAGAGCGAGCCAATCGAAGATGCGAGCACCAGCAGAAGCAATTGTAAATCAAATAACTCAACAACACAATTACAGCAGCTAAATGCGCAAATAATAGCTGGCATTAAATGCGCTTCGATGAATTAACGCATCAATATTAGCAGAATGATTGCCGCTTATTTAGCCATTCGAGCGCAAAACAAGCGCCAGCTAAAGAAGAAAAGGCGAAAAAATTACAAAACAAGAAAAAACGTTCACTTCGGCTGCCTGTTCAGGGTATAATAAAGAAAAAGAATTACAAAAACAAAAAAAAATTATATAAAAAATACTTGGCAGACGACGCTTATACAAGACTCAGCAAAAAAGCGAAGAAAAATACAGCGGCAGCCAACTAATTGGAGCAATGCCAATTGTAAGGCGCTTTCGGGCGGCATGTTTGTTGTTATTGTAGTGAAAAATTACATTACCGTTGCATGCCGTTGACCGAGAAACCACGGGTTATGGCAACTACATACCCGTGCTGTGGGTATTGTGTGTGTGTGTGGTTGGCGCTTCGACCAGACTAGTCAAACTGACTGGGATGACTGATTGAATTGTCGGTTGACTGCTGCTTGCGGTGCAACTTATAACCAAAGTTCATAACATATGTAAATACATAGTAGAGTGTGTGTGTGTGTGTGTATTTTTTCTGCCACTGCAAATTGTTGGCTTCCTAGTGGCGCTAGCTCTTTGCTTATGGCTGCGAAAATTTACAAATTGCGGTAATATGATAAAGTCTGAAAAGTCATCGTTGCATATACCTATATATGTGTGTGTTTGTGTGTGTGTGCGACGGCTCTGATGATGCAAAAGGCTAAGTAATGCTCCCTTGGCACGGTGGTAGTCACCTTTTAATAATGATAATCGAAAACGGAATATTTTTTTTTGGCAGTGCAGAGTTTTCTCTTCAGCTGAATTATTTATTTGGAAATTAGCAAGCCCTCAAATATTTAATACATATATAGAAATGTTGCTGGAACACTTTTGAGTTGGTAAAATCTCAAGAACAGATAATATAATTAAAAATCTTTTATCTTTTTTTTTATATCCTTGATAAATGCGGTTCATAAAGAATATGATACGTGTTCGATACGCCACTTCCCAGCTCGCTATGTTAGTGCTCTGTCACTAATTTGAAGCAAACAATAATTTTCCACTGAAATATGTATGTATGCCGAAAAAGTGTTTATGCGGAGAGCTCTTTTTCATTACCTTAATTTGTTGAAAGCCTCAGCTCGTAGTAGCTTGTTCCTCAGTGGAAGTTAATGGTGAACTTGCTCTAACTGAGCGAACGTACCGAAAGTGGCATCCATGAAATAAAAGTGGCGATTTTGGCTTGTAAGACGAAGAACGTCATGCGCGGCCCAAAAAAGTTTGAAGATAAGGAGCTGAAACCATTATTCAAAGAAGATTGTTGCCAGACAAAAAAAAAGAGCTCGCAGAATCTCAGAATCAGACAACCCTAAACACAAAAACACATATGTTCAGCCTGCCAGCCAGCCAAATCAACGGAAAAGCCGAATATCCATGACG